CTCGGTAGTCAATGGTAAACCTCCTTATATACTTTTGCTAAGAAAAAACTTTTCACAAACACCATTTGCCACTCGAAAGCGGCCTTAAACTGTCCCTCCATTTATGTTGTAACATTAAGTAGCACAACACAAATTCGAGAAGAAGTTCGGCCGACCAGAATTTGGTCACCAGATCAGCATACTCTCTTCTCGATTTGGTACGAAGAAAAAAATACTAGATACTCCTTTCTTAAATCGTTAAAATATAAACTAAGCCTGTGGGGTTTATCGCAACCAAAGCAATGTACCTACATACAGTGAAACCTCGATATAACGAAGTCGAAGAGGTTGGATATTCGTTGGTTGCTAGCTGTTATATCTATAGTTTCGTTATATTTATGTATTTATAGAAAATCAAAACTACAATAAATCTAAAAATGCAATATTTTGGAAAATATTCTTTACAACGTGCGACAAAAACCGAAATATTTCAAAACACACGAAACAGTCAATATATTTACTTTTACAATATGGGTACCAAGGTACATTGAACAGGTAGTATCAGTAGAGCAGCTGATTTGATTTATTTTCAAATTATTTGGTCTCGAAAATGTCAAATATTTTTAATTTTTTCTCACAAAAATTCTGAATTGTTAAAATCCATTTGCATGTGAAACCTTTTTCCATACAAAACAAGCGATTGAATAGCAGCTTTTGGAACGTTCGCCCAACTCAGCAGCACGACCGCTGATTACTGGGCCTTGCAAAGGATGGATCAATGCTTCGAGAAGCAAACAAATTTACTAGGAAAGAAAGTTGCATCAATTTTTATTTTTTCCAATTTCAATTTTTTATTTTTTATAATTTTTTGTATTTCACATGGCACGCTTTGATTTAGAAGAAAATATTCAGAACAGTTTTTGACAGTTTCGATACCAGAAGCAACAACAAAATACACGCAAATGTTGTTTTTGCTCTACTGATACTACCTGTTTAATGTGCCTTGATGGGTACCAAATGCAAGAGAAAATTCTGTAGAAATAAAAAGTCTAAATAGTAGCAGTAGCCCTTGATTGTAGTTATGGTGACTTATGAAAAAAGTGCAAAAGTCTGATGAGCAGATGTGGTCATCTCCGAAAGAGCAGCTAATAAGCATAATCGTTGTACAAAGCTCAATGACAATATTACAAATAATTGTTAAAAATCCGCAATAACATTGACAAATAAAGAGTTTAGGATGATCCTGCCTTAAACTATACAATAAACAAAATTAATGTATAGAAGTAAAAATATAAAATTAAAATAATAGAAAAATAAAGTTTTTCTGTCCCCAAGGACAAAATCCCCTTTCAGATATTTTAATTTTTTTGAGCTAATAAACTTAAAAAAAAACAAAATTCTACGAGCACATCGTGTGTATATTAGCTCTTGATATACATATATACAATTTTTTTCAAAAAAAATAAGCAAATTTTCATTATATTCAAGGATACAATTTTAAAAAGGCATTTTCAACATTTATTCGTCATGGTGCAACAAAAAATTATAATTTTTTTTTTATTCTACGGAATTATTTCTTTTACTCTCCAATATACCGAATCTTTTAAATAATTTTTTTATTCAATCATATCCTGGAAATTTCAAAGACTTTTAAAAAAAATCGAGACGTCAGAAAGAAAAATTAAAAACTCAGTTATACTATACTTGGCTCCTAGTTTTATGCATATATGGATTTTTTCATGTGTTTTAAAAATTTTTGGTTTTTGTCGCATGGTGTTAGCTCTTGACACACAATTCAAAAAAAAAAAATATTGCAAATAATCACGAATATTCAAGGACTAAATTTAAAAAGGGAACTTTTTACACCTGCACCAAACAATTTTACCTTTTTTGATTCTACTGAATTTTGTCTGTTATTTGATACCCATATTGTTATTCTACATGGCACTGAATTTTTTTAATTAATCATCTATCTATTTGAAATTTCAAAGTCATAAAAAAAAATCCTAATATCTGGGAATGAAACTACAATCGCAGTTTTGATACTTTGGGTCCCTAGTTTCGCTAATTTATTGATATTTTGTGTGTGTAAAATTGACCATTCCACGGTGTTATAAGTATAGTTTGGTCGTTTTTTAACGGGACTCTAACCGTCACGTATTCAGAATCCGGTGTGTAGAGGCTTTTAAATCGACAGTTCCTCATATAAAAGTTTTTGTTAACAGACTTTAGCCGTCAATAGCATTTTTTTCTACATTGGGTTTTTCGTTTTATCACGGTTCGTTATATCGAGGTTTCACTGCATATATGTGTTTGAGAGCCTGCTGTACACATTGTATTTGTTTATTAGAAAATAAGCATTAGCGAATATGCTTGCTGACTATACAAAACGAAGAACTATATCTAGCACCAATGTATTTTTAAACCTCGCCGGGAAGCTAAAGCTCGGAACACTTTGACGACAGCAAGCGACAAGCAGCATCTGTCAAATTTTAAATACACACGTTCTTACGGACACAATTATTTTGACCACAGCATGACATCTTGGCTGCAGGACTGCAATTGTCGACGTCGCCAAATTAAATCTATTTCTAATTTTGCCGGCGACAATGAGTAGATGTAGTGCTGCAAAATTAAATTGTCGCAAAATTAATCACATATTCTTGATTGTTCATGTTTTTCTTATTTACTTAAATAAAAATACACAATTTGTGAAATAAATATACCAAAATGTCAAACTTTAAAATCAGCTGTTTGCTATGTCGCTGAGGTCTTCAAAATGTTTAAGAAGCTGGCTTCAAGGCGACATTTGTCGACAAAATGATGTCGCGGTCGTTACGTCGTGAAGTTGCAGTCGTCAAAGTGTTCCGAGCTTAATAAGCGCTATATAACAATGACTTGATTAAGGTCATCAAACCTGCACCGTTATCGCGAATTTCAAAACCAATATGCCAAATTAATGAACTGGGCTCTTTGGTGTGCAGTAACCTTTTATTATTTTTAAGTTGAAACTTTGTTTAGTGGTGATTTCAAATTTTATGAAATGGAAAACCGATACTATTTAAGACTTTTCTTCGCTCAGAAACGGCTGGACGGATTTAGGTGAAACATTGGGAATATATTTATTTAGTGCTTTGAATAAGGCAGCCAGCTCTTTATAAAAGTTAGTTTCATTTTTACTCTTTTAACGTCACGCGGGTTCATAGTATGACCTAGCAGAATGTATGTAAAAGTAAAAAAAAGCAAATATCTAGCCGAAACGTTGATTTTCAGAGCTTTTGCGACACCACTCAGCATCCCAACACGCGAGAATCTCGCAAAATGTCCTCAAACGATCTCGTATAACAGCAATGAACGATTGGAAAACTTTTTTGATCGTAAAAGCTTCGCATTGCAGCTTGAAATTTGCGATAAAAATGCAAATGGAAGAAGAAGATTGCCGTTCTGCTAATGTTGAAAAATTAGTTTTATTTTATTTGTCAAAGTGAAGTGTGTGTAACAGCTGAATGATTAAAAACTATTAAAGATTCAGTTAGTCTAGAGATAGTTGACGTAACGTAACCTAATATATTGGCCAACGCAATATATTTTTGTTCAGAAATGTTTTGATGTGTGAAGTGACAATCAGCTGAAAAGGAAAATACAAAAACGAAATATTTCCGCTTCTGGCTAAGTTGAGTGTTGAGTAATCATTGACGATTTCTTAGGTAAGTTAAGTTAAGTCCAGAGTAATTGAGCCTTAAGGCACTGAAATTAATCAGCGGCTAGAAATCCTCCGAAGATACCAAGGATTTTTAAAGGCACCTAGTGTTGAAAATTATAAAAATTAACATGCTCGGACAGCAACGAATCTAAAGATCGAATTCAGGACACAAATGTTAAAGCTAGAAATAAGACCTAAATAAGCTAGAATAAGATAAGAGAAATAGGAGAACGAGGTAGATATAAAGAAAACTTGAGAGATGCCGGAGCATTAATGATAATGAATACTGAAGAAGTAGCAAGAGATGAAAGCTGTTTTTAAAATGTTAAGGCTGTTACTGTTTCTGATGGACATAGAAAGTAACATTAAATTTTTAATACAGTCCTTTAATATTTTTTTAATTAAGAAAATGCCAGTTTTTATTTTGGTCTAATGGACTTGTAGTTTTCCAGGAAAAAACCTATAAATAATAAAAAGCGTTATGGTTTAGCTGCATGACACAAAAAAAGAAGGTAGTTCCATTGTAACTTTTTCGCCGCCTTATCAACATCCTGAAAATTAAGAAGATTGCGGCATCGCGTGCTTTCATACCCAATATGTAAAATCCTTCAAATTTTATTATTAATTTTTTGTTTATTTAAAATCACGTTGTCCTTAGAATCGAAATTTGAACAAGCAAATGCTCTTTTGATAGGCAGGGTTCGGTTATTTGTACAATGATTTTGGGTGAACCAGAATAAAAAGAAAATTAACATGCTAGTGTGGTCAAACGATAAAACTTTAGTTTAAAATAAAGGTTTGAAATTTTCGAACACAACTTTATTAATAAATTCGGTTTGAAATAAGCGGTTTTCCAAAAAAATTCTGTAGTTAGCGTAGCCGGAGTTGGACTGATGAGGGTTATTTTTTCTAAGCGCAGCCAAAGGCCTCCAAGGCGGAAAGGTATTCTGCGCGAAAATCGCGGGGTTGGCGTAACCGGAGTTTACATATCTCTGGCGAAATACTAATTTTACCCCATTTTCAAGTGGGTCGCTAGTGGTTTGAAAAGGGTAGGGGCGACTTTTCTTAAAGTGTGGGCACTTCCCTTTCTAATGGGTGGGGTTTTACGAAACTGGCAGTTTCTGAACTTTGTTTGGTTTTCCTAATTACATATTAAAAAGCAGTACACAACGAAAGTGTATTCAAACGACTAAATCTCAAAAAAAAAAACGCTAAATGAAAGATCGTTTGGCGCCAAATCATATGTATTTTAGTTTGAAACAAATACGATGCGGTTTATTTTTTCCCCCCAGTGTACACACTCATTCAACTCACTCACCTTCTTCTAGTCCACGTCCTATTTCCTCGGCTGTCAATTTGGGAAAATTCACTTGCAGCGTGTGACCATTGAAGAAGTGACTTAATCGCTCTATAAGCATATTTGTCAGCTTGGTATCGCGATCATCGCTGGAGCGTGACAGCGAAGATTCCAGCTCATTTTCACCATAGAGTGGCTGAAGTGGCGCAGAAGATGCGGCTGCGGCGGCGCTAATAGCGCTATTCGGCAGGCGCACCAATTTAATGCCATCCGCCACAGCGATGGCATCTATGTGCGATATGCGATCAATGAAGGAGATTGCCTTCTTCTTCAGGCATGGCACAAAACCGCCATCTGCGCGGCTGCACTCATCGTAGATGCGCAAAATGGTGCGTGTGCTGGCGTTAGCGGTGTTCAATGGCGTGGAAGATGACGGCGAAGACGATGCAGGTGCGGGCGGAACTGATGCTTTTTTGACTGTTGCTGCTGAGTTGCCAGAGGCGACTGATGCTGCTGCTGCTGCTGCTGCTAATCCTTGTTGCGCAAAAGGGAAATTACTAAGATTCTCGGTGCCGGCATTGCAAGCGGATAACAGGAGGCAGAGGCAGAACGCGAACGCGTAACTCCAGGATGTGGCGCGATTTTTTAACTTCGCATGCGCAAATGTCTTTTTCAAAAGCATTTTGAGAACTTTTGTTTTGTTTTTTTTTTTTAATATTTTAAGTAAATCGGTTTTGAGTGTCAAAGTTTTCAAATTCTTAATTTTTTGTTTAATTTTTATTTTCACTAATTATTGCCACTAACTTTCGTATGTAGTGTATGTTCGGTTAATTGCAATATTTTTTGTCAATTGTAAGCACAAATCACATTTTAATTATACTTTTTTTTAGTCAGTATCCTGCCTTATCGCACAAATACATACGCACACTCGTTAACGCAAGCTTGCGCCAAGCGCAATTCAACGGTAACTTTTGGTTGCCTTTAACTACTACACTTCATATATATGGATTTATTTTTTGCTGTTGGTGTTGTTTGTATCCATTTGATTAACCACCGGCTGAAGCGGCTTCTGTCAGTCTTCAAAACACACTGATGCCACCGCAAAGCGCGCTTTATTCTTTTATAGACACCTCTTTTCTTCACATTAAAAACCAGCAAAGAAATTACCAACTGCTTTTCTTTTGCTTTTCCGAATTTCTTTGCAATTTCATTGCGAACACGGCCACAGCCGGCATTCTGTGCAGTTTTTTTTGCTGCAAAGTCACTTCTTAGTCGGCTGCTTGCTGACTGGCATTTGGTTGTTGAAATTTTTGCGCCAACTAGTATTTTGTGTCTGCAACATTGTTGCTAAACAATTGTGAGAAGGTAAATGCATTTTTTTTGGCTTAACTTGAACCGATTTCTGCCACTTTTCACTTTGTTAAGAAACAATTTTTCTATTGAAATTTTAACTTTGAAATGTTGCGTTCTCCCACGTTTAGCTATGTAAGTGGCTTATGCCTTTGAATTGCAGGCAAATATGCAAATACAATATTGTTTTACTCGATAAACTGCAACAGTTGGCAATCGCTGACATTGACGTGACAATTTTCTTCTCTCACATTGTTACATTGTTTACATTATTCACTTACATTTGGATTTGTTTGCTATCGCTTTAGTTTCGCCGTCTGCGCTGATTTTTTTATTTGTTTAAAGGTAAATATGCAACATGATCGCGTTGCACTTGGCGATGAGTCGACAGCAGCTTGATTTATTTTACATTGAAGTAAAAAGTGCGAGCAGTAATTTAGCTCCTGAAATCAGGATTGTGGGAACTTGAATGGAAAACCTTTTTCGTTACTCAAAGGGTTTTCATGTCTAGGTTGATCAAAAAATAGCCTTGGAACGTGCAGCTATGAATTAAAAAAAAAAATTAAAAAAAAAACATGGCGAAGTGATTGGGCACAATGCGTGCTATGAGGGATCACAATAAGAAGAGAAAGGCAAAATAAGAGAGTGCGAAGAGCTTGATATGCTGATCGACAGGAAAAACCGCCTGACAATTCAGAGTGTCTAACTTAAGGCAGTTTTCATGACTACTGTGAATTCCTTCGGACATCTAATGAGCGATGAATGCAGCGTGATAAAATTGTGAATGGCATGGTAACATCACTAATGACACTACAGGCTGGCAATGAAGTGTGCTTTGCGCAATTCTCAAAAGGAAAACACTGCCAGAGATGCCAACTATCGCGCGTTCACACTTCTGAATTGTTCTGATAGCGTCGTATGTGTTCTTACGTAACTTTTTTGTAATGAGAGTGGTTAGTTTGAATGCGACGGCTATAAACGTGAGAACTAGGGATGCTATTTTTTTCGCTTTTTACTATCCCGGAATGTCGTTATCACAATCCCGGGATTAGTCTCGGGATTAAGATATTCATTACTTTTGAACAACTTAAATCGAAAAAATTGCTTCTAGTTTGTTTGAGAAGCTCTCCTAACATAAAAAATAAATAATAAATAAATGGGTTTGAAACCTACTTTTTATTTAAAGTGGCGTTTTCTTTTCTCCCTCTAACGTTAGGATTTATTTTAAAGGACTTTGTAATTTCAAAGATATGACTACTTCCAAAAATTCAATGCAATTTAGAATCAAAATATGGATACCAAATAAAAGAGGAAAATTTTCGTTGTTCTTTTTGCTGTTGTTGTTGTTTTGGTTTTGTGTTGTTATCACTAATAATAGTGGTCCCACTAGTAGTCCGGAAGGGGTTCGTCACTCGTCCGCAGAGCCAGGATGCATAGAGAAGGCCCGCCTACAACCGATCTTGCTCGGGCAGCGGAGTGTTGGTTTGGTAACCCCAGCATTTCAGCCCTCAGCAACAGTAACGTTTCATATTGAAGCGTCAAGAAGTGCTGAAGTGTGCAGGATGCAATACTGGGCTTTTCTCTTAGTTCATTCGACACTGTGAGGCTTGCCATGCCACCATTTAAGCTTCCACGCCACGGCAAGACGACCAACGTTGAGAAAGAGGAGAAAATTAGATTTTTTTTCAAGTTCGGGCCAATTTTGGAATTTCCTTGGCCACTAGAGAAAGTTTTGACACTTTGTTTTGAAAAGTGAGGGATATCAAAAATTGGTTGTCCTCTTAATATTCTCATTAGTTTTGATTTGTTTTGGCCAGCTGTGTTACACTTCAGTCATTTTGACCACTTCCTGCGAAGTGAAGCGATTCTATGTATAATTATTTGAAAATAAATTCTGATGTTAAACTTGCTGAGTTCAACTTCTGCATTAACTTTTCCATGCGACGGAAAGTATACAGCCATGGTCGAACTTTTTTGGAATCGCTGCAAGAGAAATTATAAACCGAAAACAAGCTATCCTTTTAAATGTCTTAAAAAACACAAATTTAATGTCTTTGTTGTTCTAAGGAATAGCTCATAATCTTTAAAGTTGTGTTGTCTTTTGAATTGTATCCTCCAGCAAATTTGCGAAATATGGAAAGCTACAACAAATGGTCGTTAATCTTTTTTTCCCTTTATCGGAGTAAAGTAAAACTTTTTAACTTAAAACAAATTGCAAAAATCTAAACTTGCATTTCTCTTAATAATTTGCCACAGGTATGTCACAAACATGTTCAGGTGTACGTATGAACGTTAGGGTGGTCCAAGGTAAGTAAAGTCGGAATTTTAATGATCCCACCCCTAGGATTGTTCTACATCGAAAAAATTATACTCAAATTTTTTATTTGAAATCAAAAAATATTTAGAGGTCGCTCAAAGCGCTCAAAGTTTTCCATGAATTTTATATTTGAAAAAACAACTCTTCGTAGAATTAATATAGCATTCTTGAAGATCAATATTTTTCGATCGGAAAACTATGGTTCTCTTCAGAAGACTTCCTATAAAAATACCAAATTGTTTATTTAACCATTTTTTTATACTATAGATTTTTTATTTATTCCCCCATTGCATTTTCTGGGGGTTTGGCCGACCTATAAAGAGATTTTTTATTTATTCCCCATTGCATTTTGTGGCATATTCTGGGGATTTGGCGGACCTATAAAATATAGTTTCTATGAGAAAATGGTTAAATAAATAATTGCGTATGATTATTGGGAACCTCCTGAAGAGAAACAGAGTTTTCTCTTCGAAAAATATAAATTTTCAAGAATTTTATACCATTTCTATGAAAAGTGGTTTTTCCCATATTAAATACATAGAAAACGTTGTGCCATTGAGCGGCCTCTAAATATTTTTCGATTTCAAAATAATAAATTGGGGTATTTTGTCGGTGTGAAACAATCCTTGGTGGTGAGAGCATAAATGGTCCGACTTTACCTTTTCCCCAAATGTATTTTTGGACCACCCTAATGCACATACATTTATACATCCATACATTTTATAAATAGGAATGTGAAGTACATGGTTACTTATCTACATACTAATCTATCTTTTCACTTTCGCAGCCATGTTTATGTTGCTTTCAATTGCACGCTGGCGTCTAATAAGGCACCGCAAAGGTCAAACATGCAACCGCAGAGTTAATCAGACATGGTATGAATCTGGCGTTACAATAGTTACCAGTACTTTCCCTGCACAGTTAGACAAGTACTAGTAGCGTTGTTTTGAAATACGACAGGTGTTTGCGTGGCGAAGTAAAGTTAGGCAAAAGCGGTCTGCTTTCCGTCGTTTTTTTTTTGTTTGTGCAAAGTTCCTTTAGTATTTTTTTGTGAGTTTTTTTGCGCTTTTAACTATTTTGTTGTTGTTTTCAGAAATATTACCCTCTTACATGAGTATGCACTTGGTTACTGCTAAAGCACTTTTAATCAGTTTCGCGTCATTTTGTCTGCTTACTGAATTGGAAAATTGTTGCACTTACATATACATAATATGTACCGACAACAACAGAAAGGTGTACTCGATATTGTTTACTGCTAAGTTCATTGTCTTCATTTGAAGATTCAATATCAAATTTACGACAAAGAATGTATGTACTAGGAATGTTAGTCCCGGGATCCCGGCCTTTTTGAGCTCCCAAAAATTCCGGGATTTTAATTGGCACTGATGGCAATAATAGAAACTAATATTCTTGACGAGTATTGGCTATATTTAATTTTTGATTTAATAATTAATATTTTTTTATAAATGTCTAGCTCATTGTACAAATTGCGTTTTTAGTTTTTCACTCTGGCGTCAGTAGTTCAAAAATGATTTAAAAAATTCAGAGAAATGTGCTTAGAGAAGACGTGTGGGTATCAAATTAAAAAGGAAATCCAGTAAAATTTAAACAGATTCAAATTTTTCGTACAGAAGGACGGGTAAGTAATTAAAATGTCTTTTTAAAATTTTATTCTTGAAATTTCGCAATATTTGTTATTGAAAAATTATATGCAAAGGACCACTATTTTCTCCTTTACTACCCTGCAGGAAATGGGACTAGTTTGCAGCTAACTATTAACTAACTAGCAGTCGACTGGTGGTAACTATTTATTAACTATTTCCTGTGGCCGCAACTAACTACTTTTGAAGGTCGATGGTCGCAAAATAGTGCTAGTAGTTGTATACCAAATTCGCTTGTAGCTAACTACTTTTGGACATAAGATATCAATAAGAAAAACAAAATGTTTTTATATTTATTTATTTACATTATTTATTACATTTCATATTTGTTTACATATTCTGCTGTAGGTATTCCCATATTCGAACACCGTCAGACATAACTTCAAAATGTTAATATAAAGTTTCGATCTGCC